GGGGTCTAGTGGTTAGAGCAGGGTGGGGCTGGGAGCCAGGACTCTTGGGTTTCCCCCCCCTCCCCAGCCCTCGGGAGGGGAGTGGGGGTCTAGTGGTTAGAGCAGGGTGGGGCTGGGAGCCAGGACTCTTGGGTTTCCCCCCCCTCCCCAGCCCTCGGGAGGGGAGTGGGGTCTAGTGAGTTAGAGTGGGGGGCAGTCTGGGACCCAGGACTCCTGGGTTCTCTATCTGTTTCTGGGAGGGAAGTGGGGTTGAGTGGTTAGAGCGGGGTGCTGGGAGCCAGGACTCCTGGGTTCTCTCCCCAGCTCTGGGAGGGGAGTGGGAGTCTAGTGGTTAGAGCAGGAGGCTGGAAGCCAGGTGCATCATGAGACACGTAGTCCAGGTAGGAGAATAGGAGCAGGAGACAACTGAATGGCACCTCCCATGATGCACCGGGTGCCATTTCTGGGTTCAAATATGACCGTTTTCGGCCCCCGAAATCAATTCAGTTTCTGGCTGTTCAGCATTTCAGCCACAGGGGGCAGGGGGGGCAGAGTGCAGTCCCGCGGGTGGGGAAAAACAAAGACAAAACAACCCCACCAGCTACCCAATGGGCTGTGGGTGGGGAACTAGCCCAGCCAATCAGCAGGAGGTGTGGCCCAGCTGGCTCTGATCAATCACCAATCACTGCCGAGGCTGCGGGCAGTGGGCGGAGCTTGAAGGCTATATGAGTCGGACCCCGCGCACTCCAGGAGCAATACTGGGGCGAGAGGTGACCCACGGCAGAAGGGGTCACTCAGCCGCAAGCCCTAGAGACAACGCCAGAGCTGGGTCTGACCCACGGCTCTTTGGGCAAGATGGTGTCGTGTGCGGGCACCGATCAGAGCTTCTGTGAAGAGATCGGTGCACGGAGAACTCACAGGGAAATGGGCCCGAAGCAAACAGCTGCAGATGATGGTGAAAACTGTGTTGATGCACCCCTGTTTTGTAAGAACTGCTTTCCTGTCTGCCCCTCACCTCAGTTTCTGGGTCATCTGGGCCCACAAACAATCGGGGGGTGACATCAGAATATTCAGCCCTTTGCCAAGGTCCATTTTCCATCCATGAATGGCCGGAATGGGAAATTTTCCGCTGCCATCGGGACCCGGCGGGGTAACATTTGCGGGTTATTATCAGATGAACGCAGAAGATGTCACAGCCCCTTGGTGGTTTGATCCGCTCCCCAGCCCTGGGGTGGAATAGTGCCCCCTTGAGTGAGGGTGGCTGTAGGTGAGCGGGGCTATTGCACACTTCCAAGGGCTTTTGCACACTCAACCCTTTCCCCCGGGCCACGGGGTAGCAGTGCCAAGTCCAGGGGAAACTAAGGCAAGCAAAATTGGGAAGCCAGACGTTGGTTGGGTACAAAGATGAGTTTTTCTCCCTGCCCCCCCTCTCTTTTCAGGGACACCTCTGGCCTGTTTCTATTGCAAATCTGGGCAAAGCTGTCACACCGTCCCCCAGACCTGCTCCCCACCCCAGGACGCCTGCATCATTGTTCAAGAACACAACACGCTCGGTGAGTCCCGTCGTGGCGGCTGTGGGAGGCGCCCGTGCGGCGGGAACCCTGCTCTTGGGCGCGTTTGCCATGCGCCTCCCTAGCTGCTCCCGAGGGCGGTCGTGGGGTCCCCATCAGTGGAGGTTTTCCGACCAGGTTGGACGAACACCTGTAAGGGCTGGTCTAGGTTGCCTTGGTCCGCCCTCAGCACCGGGGGCTGGACTGGATGAGGTCTCTTCCAACTAGCGGCGGCATGGGGCACTCGCCGGGTGATCGCAGGGAGCCCCCCAGCAGCGAGGGGCCCCCCAGGCCTGGGGACTCAGTTTCTTGTCCCCAGGGACAATATGACAGCCAAAGAGAAGTGCCCACCCCACTCAGCATCATGGCCCAGGGATGGCAGCCCCCCCTGGTGGGATGATGCCACCCCCCCTGTGGTTTTGGGGGGGCAACTAGTCAGGACCCTGGAATTGAGCCTAGCAGGGAGGGCACCCTGGGATGAACCCCCCGCTGCTTCCAGCCCTGCGGTCCTACAGAGGCAGCTGCTGATGGTTATAAGGTGGCGAGGGGTGCGGGGCGCATCCTGGAACGGCCGCGGCTCAGGGGCCGTCCTGCTGAGCGAGGCGCCAAGGAAGAAAATGTAGAGGGAATGGCTGGGATTCAGGGCCCGATCCCCTGAGGCGCCCAACTCTCCTAGATCAGGGCCTTGGGCGGGAGGCCCCTCTCTCTGCCTGGGACGATCTCTCCCCTGGAGGTGGGCGGCCAAGTCAGGCCAGGCATTTCCCGTTTGGAGAGAAACAAGGGAGACCCCAGGCCCGGCTAATCTCTGCTCTTGGAGCTGCTCTGACAGGGGCAGCTAACGGAATGGTGCCTGGGCTGGGGAGAAATCGGCTGTATCACCTGGTGGTTAGCGCCATCACCTGGCTGTGGGAGACCCACCTTGAGGATCTGCTCATGCCAATATTTAACGGGGGCCGTGCGGCTGCGGTGGCTCCGTCAGTGTAACCGGCACGTGACGTTCCCTTCTTGCTTCGCTGCCTTTCCAACAGGCGCGGAGAATTCGGGCACGTACCAGTCCTGCGCCGACTCCCGCCAGAGTCTCACGGGCTTCCTGGCTTTTTACTTCGGGGCCAAGGTGGCCGTGGAGATCCGGTCGGAGATTTGCAAGAGCGGTGACTGCAGTGCCGAGTCCACGCCCTCCAGTACGTACCGCCGGCTTCGGGTCTGATTCGCAGGCGCGGGGAAGCCGCTGGGTCGAATCTCAAACCTCCAAGGCGCTGCTATTCCCGGCCTCGGGGAAAAGCCAGGAGATTTCCGAAGACCCTGGGGCAAGCAGGCAGTTCGGGGGGAAGTCATTTGTCATGGGAAGCAAGTGGGGATGAGACACGTGCAGGGGAGAGAGGGAAGTTTTAATGCCTTTGTCCTGGTAAGACCTTCCCTTGCACATTGTGTCCAGCTGTGGTCCCCCACCTTCAAGGCAGATGAATTCAAACTAGGGCAGGTGCAGAGCAGGGCTACGGAGCTGGTCAGAGACATGGGGAGCCGGATTTATGAGAGGGGCCTGGAAGAGCTGGGTTTGTTTAGCCTGGGATAATGCAGGCTGAGAGGAGACCTCATTGCTCTCAGGGGGCATCTTCTGGGGTGCAAACTGGACCAGTAAGGGGTCACCCTGTAACCATGTGTGCCTGAAAATGCCCTACTTCTGTATCTTACAGCCTGGATACCTGCAGCCTGCGGTCCCCTGAGTGTCTGTGGGCTGGGCAGCAGGTGTCCAGCGCTCTGCCCCTGGTACCCTCCACTCCGTGGCTGCTGCTTGCAAAGGTGACCCCAACCCACGCCCCCCCGTCAGAGACACAATCCGGTTTGTTTGCTCCTTTAAAGAGACCTAGCAGCTTGCCACAGTACCGGCAGTTAACCATCGCTTCTGTTCAAACACAGCACCAGGCTGGCTGAGATCAGTGGTTTTCCACCTGTCTGAGATTTCCAAAGGAGTCCGCACCCCCATTCGGAATTCTTTAGGGCCATTTCTTACCGACCCTTTTCTTCGATCCCTTTGGTTGAAGAACCCATCTCGGCCTCCGTCGCTGGACAGGCACCCGCGGGCCGGAGCTCCTGCACGCGGAGAAACATGGGTCCTTCCACCAAGGCGGGTTGAAGCCCCTGGAAACTCCTGGGTTTTGTCTCTTGAAAGGAGCAAACGTGCACGGAGCAAGGTGGACGCAAGCCCTGACTAGTCCGGAGTGTGCCCCAGAACACGACAGGGGGAAGCAGCCCTGAGGGATAAGAATGATAGAAGTTAGTGGATGAGGTGGGTGCGGGAACACACGGGCCAGGAAGCGACCGAGGTTGGAAGTTAGGATGTTTCTAGTGGCCAGAGGAGAGGGGTGGCGGGACAGCTGCCCGCTGGAGGTGTGGGGGCAAATAACCGCGCTAGCTGCCTGAGTGGGATGATGTGCCGGGTTGATGGCCTGGGAGGGTCCTGCCTGTCCTACGTTCTCCTGCTGCGGTTTCTTCCCGGAGCAAAACCTTCTTTCCCCGGCTGCCTTTCAGGGCGGGCTATCAGCAACGTCCCCAACGGGCTGCAGTGCCCGGCCTGCTACGCCCCGGGCTT